CTCGGACACCAGTTACATCCTTGGAAGGTAAATGCCGCCTTGTGTCCCAGTCTCAGGCTGATGATGGGGATGGAAGGGGCACGGGGCGGTTACCCCAAGTCCCGCTGTCCAAGACCTCCTTCCTCAGGCTGGGAGTCGCTGCCCTGCAGGGGTGGCACAGTCCCTGGGGTCAGGTGACCATTGCATCGCCTCCCGGCTGACCCCCCCCGCTGATCTCCATCTGCTGTCTCCCTCTTGCAGCAGCACCCACTCGCTCCACAGCGACGACTCGGATGCTCACCCCGCTGCCTGCCGCTCCGCTGACTGCCCGTCCCCTGCCAGCTCCCTGGGCAGCCCCTGCCCACCTTCCCCGAGCATCAGGTCTCACTCTGGAGAAGCTTTTGGCCTGAGTCCCCACCAGCCCAGGGCAACCTGCTCCACCAAAGCCAACACCTACCCATCCCAGAAGGGACAGGCCAGCAGCTGCCCCCCCTCCATCCTCAGCTCCGCGGCCGACATCCCAGTGCTGCTGGTGAACGGGTGCCCGGAACAAGGAGATGCATCTTCCAGGCTGGCCAAAGCCCCCCCAGCCTCTGTCAAGCAGAGCCCCCCTCCCAGCTGCAGCCCGGCCTCGAAGCTCGGTGACCTGAACCCCACGCTGTCGGCACCGGCGCTCTCCTGCGTCTCGGACAGTACGTCACCTCCCTGTCACGGGGCAGGTCTGGGGGGGCAAGGAGCTGTAGACCCCAGCAGCTGCCAGGGAAGGGGGGCGAACACTGGTTTCTGCTCTGGTTTAGCTGTGGGTTATAGATGTGAAGGCCAGGAGGTCCTTGCTGGAGCTGGAGATCCTCGCTGTATCTGCACAGGGTTGCGGGGCTCTGCGGTGGTCTCCAGCTCTTTGCTGATGACCCTGCATTAGCCACCGTGTTTTGCCCACCAGGGTCCGGGGCACGTGCTCAGCGGGCAGAAAGGCTCTGGTCCCCTCTAGGAGATGGAGATACATTTATTTATAGGACCTGAGTATGAGAACCGTAATTCTGTCGTTTCGTGTTTGTTTGTGGGCCCAGAACAGGTGGGGAGGAGGGGTTAGGGTTCCAGTTTGCTCTGGAGAACATCTGAAGACACCAGAGTTTATAAGGTCCCTCATTCAGGGGTAAACAATGGGGCTATTGTCCTCTGGAGGAGATTAGCAGAGGCAGCTCCTGGGGCAGAGGGTTTTAATTGGGATTCTTATGGGAACAGCAGGAAGGCTTTGTGGGTCAGATCCTCAGCTGGTGTAACTCCCCATGGTCCAGCGGACTTGTGCAGGGTTGGGCAGACTGGCACTGCCAGGGGATCCCACGTGCTGCCTCTCCGCGCCCCATCGCAGCCTGCCAAGGGAGATAATTACGTGGGGAATTAATTATTCTGAGGAGTAGGGAGGAAACTCTGTTCAAAAGGATTGAAAAAACACTTCAACCCTGGCCAACTTGAAAGAGAAATATCTCTGCTCAGCGACGTGTGCTGTGAAGGTCTTTCAGGTCCCCCGCTGGCCTTGACACCGTAAGGTCTCTTGCAGGTCCCCTCAGGGCTGGGCAGCCGACCATGAAGTTTGTGATGGACACATCGAAATACTGGTTCAAGCCAAACATAACCAGGGACCAAGGTAAGGCAGCCAGTGTCTCCGCCGGGATAAGCCCATCTCAGGGTTGCTCTCTGCAGTCCCGCTGCCCATTCCCCCGCTCCCCGCAGCACCGCCGTCCAGCTCTTGCCCATGCTGGGCTCCTGTGGGGACTCGGCCGTGGCAATTCAAAGTCTACTGGGGGCTGACGGGCGTGGAGAGACCCACTCACGGGGCCAGGGGCAAGGCTCGGAGACGCGGGCTCTGCCACGGCCCCTCTGTCCCCCCCCTCAAGTCCAGCAAAGCATCTTCTGCCTCTGACCGCGCTGCTACTCGGCGTGGCCCGGGCAGGGGCTGACTCTGTCCTGGGGTCCGCAGGGTCCCACGGGACCGAGCCAGGGCCCCTCGGACTGCAGGGGCACGAGGGACGTGCGCGTCCTCAGCAAACGCTCCCGAGTATTTCTCAGTGCTGCCAAGGAACAACTCCCCGCGAGAGCATCGGCCGGAAGCGAAACGCAACGCGGGGAGGTTCCACCTGTTTTGCTTGGCTGAGCCCCCGCCTGTGCTTTGACAGCAATCCAGCTGCTGAAGGACAAGGAGCCAGGCACGTTCGTTGTGCGGGACAGCACGTCGTACCGAGGGTCTTTTGGGCTGGCGATGAAGGTTCTCGTCTCTCCATCCGGCAACCAGACAGGTACAGGGGCTTGCTCGGAAAGGTGGGGTTTGCTTTAGGGATTGAACTGAAACTGGGCAAGCTAAAGCAAGCTGAGAAGCCGCATGACTGTGGGTGTGGGGGGACGCTGGCGGGGGGTTCTGTGCGTGCCCACCCCGCCCCTGCACGGGGGCTGGCACCGCGCTCCCCACGCGGAGCAGAAGCTCCGGTGGGTGCCCTGGGATGCGGTCCCGGGGTGGGCAGGGGAAGGCAAGGGAGAAACAACGATGCTCAGCAGGTACTGATGCTGTGTTGGATCCCGCTCGCAGGTGATGAGAGCAGTGACCTCGTCCGGCACTTCCTCATCGAGTCGTCTCCCAAAGGGGTGCACCTGAAAGGAGCCGCCGAGGAGCTGTATTTCGGTAAGGACGGTGCCATCGCCGGCAGCGGCCCTGGCGGCCCCAAAAGCCCCTCGAAGCACCGGCCAGGACCGGGGCTGCTCTGCAGCCCTGCAGTGAGGGTGCTGGTCGCCCTCTGGCATCGAGGCCTTCCAGCCCCTGGGTTCTGCCTGCGCTTCTCTGCCAGTGGGACCATGGTAGTGGTCTCTAAAACAGGAACATAGGCTGGGCGTTGGAAAACCCACGTTTGTTGCTGTGAGGCCCCAAATAGTCCAGCTTAGCCCTAGCCCGCCCCCCCCTTCCCTCCTTCTGAGCTCCCTGGGATGCTGTTGCGGGGCCAGAGGCGCGTGGGTGGGAGGTTTTGGGTCCCAGAGCCCCCCCGGCTCACGGTTCTGCGTTGCAGGGAGCCTCTCTGCCTTCGTGTATCAGCACGCCATCACCCCGCTGGCCCTGCCCTGCCAGCTGAGCATCCAACCCCGCGGTACGTGT